TGCTGGCAGACTGGTTTGCTGTTTGTTTATGCTACTGTGCCACTGAGTGGTGTCAGAGGGGAGGAGGGAAAGTAGAAATCCAGCTGGGATTTGCTGGAGAGTGCATGAGTGAAATGCTGCCACCTGCAGTGTATGTATGGTACTGTTTGAATAGGTAAAAGTAACCCAATGAACAGGTTCCAACAAATTCATGATTCACAAATGGCTGAACTGATGTAGGAAAAACTGGCTCTCTGTTTCAGAAGCAGCAGATAAACCAAATTGCCAAATGTTTGAGCATCCCTGCTTCAAAGCACTGTGTAGTCTACCTGGGAGAAGTGGGTGAAACTAACTTTTGAAGTGTTTGGGATGGAGAATAAGAAGGAAACGGGGAAGGCAACTATAAAGTAGTGGAACAAAGTTTGAGTCCAATGGCACCTTTAAGACCAACGAAGTCTAATTCTGGGTTTACGTTTTCGTGTATCTGAAGAAGGGTGCATGCACACGAAATCTTCTACCCAGAATTAAACTGTGTTGGTCTTAGAGGTGCCACTGGACTCAACCATTGTTCTGCTGCTTCAGGTCAACAGGGCTACCCACCTGAATCTATAAAAGTAGTGGACAATACACACTGAGTAGCTATGAAGGAAGAGCTGCCTTCCAGAAAAAGCGTCAGAGACAGTAGGTGAGCATGAAAAGGATACCTGTTTGTTTAGTTCAAACATTTATTAGCTGCTTTTCTTCAAGGTGGCTTACAATATAGGAAAAAAAAATACATAAAAAAGCTAACATTTAAAATCACAATTTAGGGCTGCTAGTAAATTAATCAAATGTGGTCCTTGATAAAACCATCTTCAACTGCCCCCTAAAGAGCGAAAGTGAGGGGTTTCCCTTAATGTGTGGAAGGAAAGGGACAAAACATAAAAATAAATAAATCAGAAGTGTCTTATCATGGGCTGCCAGAGGCAGCCAAGAATGTCCTGAATGAGAGAATAGTAAAGATAAAGGCTTCCCTTGCTCGAAAGCCAGTCAAATCTGACACTAGGGGGCGGTGTTCATCTGTTTCCAAGCCAAAGAGCCAGCGCTGTCCGAAGACTTCTCCATGGTCATGCCGAAGCACACGAAATGCTGTTACCTTCCCACCGAAGCGGTACCTATTTATCTACTTGCAAGTTCTTGTTTTTGAACTGCTAGGCTGGCAGAAGCTGGGGCCAGAGATGGGAGCTCACTCCGTCATGCGGCACTCGGGTCTCAAACAGCCGAGCTACCGACCTTCCGGTCTGCAACTCAGCATCTTAACCTCTGAGCCACTGCAGAATACATGGTCTGAAATCGTACAGATTAAAGGATGGTAACATAGCCTGCGATGTTATTGTGTAATTTGTTGTTACTCATGGAATTTCTTTTAAAAAGCCCTAATTAGAATATTAAAAAGAAGGAAACTGTTTCTTAGAAAACGACACATCAGTTTATCACATTCTTTCTACAGAAACCTCCAAGACAAATCTAAGAGCCTCAGAGAACTGGACGTTTGGGGCATTCTGTTTTTGGCAGACTTCTCCTGGAATCCCCAGCCCAGAATGGCAGTAAATAATAGAAGAGAACTGGACTTTCCATACACATGGGGATATCTGTGCCTTTCATTTAAGGCTACAGAAGAATGTGATTCTCACCTTTTAATAATGGTTTAAAGGTACTCAAAATTTCAGCAAAGCAGTACGAAAGATGCGGAATCCACACACTACATGTTTGATGTTTCCTCAGAATCTGTATCTGCGGAGGAAAAAGATTGGACTCCAGTCCACAGGGATTAAGTAAATAAGGAAAAATACCTTAAAGAGAGGTGACCATCTGGTTTAGTGAAAGTTTAAGAATATAAGAAGAGCCTTGCTGGATCAGACCAGTGGTCTATCAGCATCCTGTTTCATACAATGGTTAATTATCTTGAAAGGACAATGAACTGGGCGTCAAAAGAGGGGCCATCCCTCCACCACTGGCATTCAGATGTTTCCAGCCTTTGAATGTGAAGTTTCCCTTTAGTCACCACCATGTCTAGTAGCCACTGATGGACCCATCTTTCATCCATCTGTATAATCCCCTTTCAAAGCCACCCACGCTTGTGACCATCACTACATACACTGGTAGCCAGTTCCACAATTTAATTCCTCATCGAACAGAGAAGTATTTCCTTTTGCCAGTCCTGAATCTGTTGCCCATCCCCTTCATTGAGTTCCCCTGTGCTGAAGAACTGTGGGGAGAAGAAACCTTTTCCTCCACCCACTCGCTCCAACTCATAATGGTATAAATCTCTATCATGCCCCCCCCCCTTCTTTCTTTCTAAATTGAAAAGCCCCCGTCCCTTTAGCCTTTCCTCATAGGAAATGTTCTCCAACTTTCAGTTTATCACTGTCAAATCCAATAGTTATCTATACAATCACATTTCATCTGTAATAGTATTTTCAATTGTCTACATGGGTATACACTGACCTCTGGTGACCAATTGTATTATGGCAAACTTTTTGCCGCACTAACAAGGCTTGAGTCCAGGGGCACCTTTAAAACCAACAAAGTTTTATTCCGGGTATAAGCTTTTGTGTGCATGCACACTTCTTCAGATACATCAAAACAAAAATCACCAACCTTGGAGGAGGAGGAGGAGTTGGATTTATACCCCACCCTTCACTCAGAGTCTCAGAGCAGCTTGCAATCTCCTTTCCTTTCCTCTCCCTCCAACAGACACCCTGTGAGATCGGTGGAGCTGAGACTTTTGAGAACTGCTCCTGAGAGAACTTGTGACTTACCCAAGGTTACCCAGCTGGCTGCATGTGGAGGAGTGGAGAATCAAACCTGGTTCTCCCAGATTAGAGTCCACCACTCTTAACCACGACACCAAACTGGCTAAGTGTTGCCAGAGAGGGCCAATTAGGGCCAAGATGCATAAGTGAGCAGTAAATATAGCTAAGATTGAATGAAGGCAATTGTTAAGAACTGTGAATAGCAGCAAATTAGCACACAGTGTAATAAAGGAGAACGAAGTTTGAATCCAGTGGCACCTTTTAGACCAACAAAGTCAGATACAATCTGTATCTGAAGAAGGGAGCCGTGACTCAAGAAAGCTCCTCCCCAGCCACAAATTTTGTGAAGTCTTTCAGGTGGTCCTGGACTCTTACTCGTTTTTTACTTAGCCAACTGGACCTGTATAAGCAACACCATTACTTTTTCAATAAATAACCAAAGGACCAAGTGCTACAACTTATAAATGACACTTCTGGGTTGGGTGTAAAATCCAGCTGTAACTCAACGTTCCAAATTGGATCGACAGCCCAACCAAGCAGACTCTGGGTTCCTAAACCCTGCGAAATCACACAGGACCAGCCCGCAAGTCATTCTTAAGGAAAAACAATAAAACGCAATGCACTATTCCATATGTGTTCCAAAAGGAACGTTTCCAGTGCAGGAACTGATGCGTGCGTGCTCACTTGGAAACAGCAAGATCACCTGCGCTCCTAGCTCAGACACAGGAAGTCTACTTTTTATGTAGAAGGACCCACAGGCAATGTTCCCTCTAGGCTGTTGAGTCTTGTGAGCAAAAATTCTCCTTTGTGGGCTACCGGCATTAAAGTTGTGAGTGAGCAATTTGGCCGCTACATAAATTAGCTTGCTCTGGAGCCATCCTTCCTGAACTAAGACACAAATGGGTGAGCCGGAGACTAAAAAAATGTGACCTAGCTCACACTAACTCAGCTTAGAGGGAACATTGCACAGGTACACTCTGGCAAAGCGGCAGAGCTTGAAAAGGGCCCAGGGTTGAGACGCCATACACTTCCCAGCCGTTGGGGTGAGTAGTACTGGGTTAGAAGAACCAACTTGTTCTACAATAGCTCCTTCTTACAGCCTTTGATTTACCACCACTAACTATGAAGAAGAAGAAGAGATGGGATTTATACCCCGCCCTTAACTACCAAAGGAATCTCAGAGTAGCTTACAATCCCTTTCCCTCCCCAGGACAGACACCCTGGGAGGTAGGTGGGGCTGAGAGGGCACTTGAGGACTGCCCTTCAGAGAACAGCTCTGAGAGAACTTATGGCTGACCCAAGGTCACACCAGCAGCTGCATGTGGAGGAGTGGGGAATCAAACCCGGTTCTCCCAGATTAGAGTCCCTGCTCCTAACCACTACAACAAACCGGCTCTGTGGTGGCGGCAGAAAGCACCATCAAGTTGCAGCTGACTTACAGTGATCTGTCATGGGGTTTTCAAGGCAAGAGATGCTCAGAGGTGGTTTTGCCATTGCCTGCCTCTGCGTAGCGACCCTGGACTTCCTTGGTGGTCTCTCATCCAAATACTGACCAGGGCCCACCCTGCTTAGCTTCCGAGATCTGACAAGACTGCTTGCTGTGCATGCATAGAAGAGACAGTGAAGGACGATCACTCATCAGTTACCAAATCACTTGGCCTACCAAGATATATTTTCTTTCACAAGGAAATGGTACAGATCCGATACGAAAAAGGTGAAGCTTCAGTAGACTAGCTGGAGGCTAAAAGAAGAGGAGGAGATTGGATTTATACCCCGTCCTTCACTCAGAGCGGCTTACAATCTCCTTCCTTCCTCTCCCCACTACAGACACCCTGTGAGGTAGGGGGGGCTGAGAGAGCTCTGAGAGAACAGCTCTCAGAGAACTGTGGCTTGCCCAAGGTCACCCAACAGCTGCATGTGGAGGAGTGGAGAATCAAACCCAGTTCTCCCAGATTAGAGTCTGCGCTCCTAAACACTACACCAAACTGGCTTTTGACTACAGCCTGTAATTACTTTTGGCAAAGTCACTTCCGGTTTGTTTTTTTTATAAAGTATTTTTCAGTCACTCGTTTCACAATGTGAACATTGTCACCTGTTCCATTACTAACGGCCAATTTCTGTCCATCTTCTGAGTGTAACAGGCCCAGCGTGCTTCCTATTGTACCAGTCTTGGAAGAATCCTTCGGTGGAAGGTCAAGAATAAACGTGCATGGTACCGCTCCCAAGTCTGGTGGAAAACACTTTATTATGATGTATCACAGCAATATACTGTATTTGGAAAAGTACAAAGTTAGTCCCCGAGAGACTACGTCACTCCCATCTTGAGATGATCGATATGCCCAAGTATCAATAATTGTCCATGAAGTCGTGCGTTCGGTGAATTTACTCTAAAAGCTTCGGGTGTTCGATCCGTGTAATCAGCCAGTCTGGTTTGACGCCCTGGGTAAATTCTCTTCGGAACCTTAGAGGGGGGGGAAACACACACAAAGAAATAAGTGGAGGTAGCAAGATGATTTAAATGTCGTTATGGAGCTTTTAGTACTGCTGCAAATGGAGGGAATGTTGGAGGCACAGACAAAACATTGGTTCATCGGTTAAACCCAAAGCAGCTAAAAAATGTAAGAGCCGGTTTAGAATCAGTGGCTTAACCCCTAAGGGCAGGGACCATTTATATCAAAAGTAAAGGCACTGAAGGTTTCAAGGACTCCAAAAGCTAACTATTTATCTGAATACTTTATTGGCATGAGCACCCATACGTTAAAAAGCTGGGTTCTGGATTTTACCACACACCAGAAGAACACCTAAGAAACGGATCCCAGAGCTGGCCCATACAGATCAGAGCACCGCTTTGTGGTGTTTTTTTTTTGGGGGGGGGGATTTTTTAATATGTGCGAGTGTGCGCGCACCTGGAAGTCATGGCGACCTCTGGTGACTGACCCCTACTGGGGGCCAGGAGGGTATTCAGACAGGTGGCTGAATGAAGCCTGCCCCCACCCTCCTGCCTCTGGTATTCCAAGGTGGTCTCCCATCCAAGTACTCGCCAGAGTCGACCGCTTAGTTCCCGAGATCTGACGAGATCGGGCTTGCCGGGGCTATCCAGGTCAGGGCCAGATCAGAGCACCTTTGATTCTCAGCTAGACTTGAGTCCAGGAGCGACAAGACTCGCAGGGTAGAAGCTTCCGAGAGACAAAACTCCTTTGGTCAGATGAAGGGAGCTCTGACCCTAAAATGCTTATGCCCCCAAAATCTTGCTGGTCTTTAAAGGTGATACTGGACTCGAACCTGGATGTTCTACTGCAGACCGAGGGCCACCCTCTGGGACTCCCACATTCAACGAGGGGAAATGAGCAGGAGGCTGTGAGTGAGCCTGCTGGAGAAAGAAGACAGACCTGTCCCTGGCCAGCACAGCAGGACAAGAGGGTAGATGGAGCTCGGGGGCCAAGCTCGCTTAACGTAAGAGCCACACAGTATAAACGTCAGATGTTTGAGAGCCGCAAGACATGAACAGGTATCACACCCACGTTTTTATTGGAAAATATGCAGATCTGCCTTTTATTAATGGTAAATGAGACTGCCAAAATAAGAACAAAAGAGGGTAAAAACTGATAATGATGTTTTTTGTTCAGCGATATCTGTCTGCTAATGACATTTCTTTGTCTAAGAGAAAGAGAGGTGGAAAGAACGAATGAAAGAGGTGGAGAGAGAGAAACAAAGAAAACAAATAGATGGGGGAGGGAGGGAGGGGGAAGGAAGAAAGGGGGAGAGAGAGGAAGGAAGGGAGAGAGAGAGAAAAAGAGAAAGAAGGTTGGAAAGAAAGCAGATAGATGGGGGAAGGGAAGGAGATGTGGAAAGAAAGCAACTTTAACTTTAAATGCGTCCTCCAAGGCACACCCCCCCCACCAGCTGGCTTGGCTCGGCGAAGGGATTTAAAGAGACAAATGCCTTCTCCAAGCCAGCTGGTGGGGGGCTTTGCCAATGCATTTAAAATTGCTCTCTTTCTCTGCTCCCCCCCACTTCAAGCCTACCCAGGGAGGGGAACACTGGCTGGGGAAGGGAAGACTGATCGGGGAGGCATGCCTCCCCTTCGCTTCCCCAGCCACCCTGCCGGGAGCCGCACGATATGTGTGAAAGAGCCGTGTGTGGCTCCTGAGCCGCAGTTTGGCCACCCCTGATTTAGCTCCTCCCCCAAGAGAGGGAGGGGCACTTCTCTCTCCTGCATACATGAATCAGAGCTACACAGGGGGAAAGCTAAGGAGCCCTTCTTGGGGACCCCTGTATTGTACAGCCGGATTCCCTAACAGGTCCCAGGCTATGACCTGAAGTCACATGACGCAGCAACTGGGCTGAAGCAAAGCGGATCTGGTTAGTGCCAGGACAGAAGATGATCTGGAGACCCTAAGTATGCCGCCGTGGGCTTCCTCGAAGAAAAAAAAAGGTAGAATATGCGTGCCATCGGGAAATAGAAACACGGCAGAGGTCACACAAAAGGTGTTCCTGTGTCCACGATCCCGCAGAGGTCCCTAAATATTTGGGCCACCTCTTCACTCCCCCCCAAATCATAATCGAGGAGATAGGATTTATACCCCACCCTTCACTTGGAGTCTCAGAGTGGCTTACAAACCCCTTTCCCTTCCCCTCCCCACAACAGACACCCTGTGAGGTAGGCAGGGCTGAGAGAGCTCTTTCCAGGACTGCCCTTGAGAGAACAGCTTTGACGGAACTATGGCTTGCCCAAGGTCATCCAGCAGCTGCAGGTGGAGGAGTGGGGAATCAAACCCAGTTCTCCCAGATTAGAGTCTGCACACTTAACCACTACACCAAACTGGCTCTCCAAATTCCTTTAGCTAATCTGAGTACAGTTATCTTTTTATAGACAAATACACATGTGTCTGGCTGCTTTAATCAACCTCTGATATTTTTGAATCTCCATACCTGACAAGAACCCCACAAGGGGTCTCCATAAGTCGGCTGTGACTTGACAGCACTACCCACCACTATCCACCTCTAACCTCCCAGTGCTGCGGGGAAGTCCACAATGACGAAGTTAACTTCAACACCAATTCCAGTTCCCTAACAGGGTGGAAATGCTAGGGTGGAAATAGTGCCTCTCTTTGTGCATGGTGCTATGGCCCATTACAACCACCAGAGGGGGTTCTTCACAAAACAGAGTCCCCGATCAACATGTAAGGGACTATCCTACCACTCCGCTTAGCCAACTGGCATGCCTTCCTCTGGCCTAAAGTGTCTTCCTGAAACAGCTCTTCGGCCACTGGAAGAACCACTTCCATCAAAGGAAAGCTTCAAACTGTGCTGAAATGAGCGGCAGGATACATGGCGTTGACTTGATTGAATGTTATACAGGGAAAACCAAGTCCCTATGGAATAAAAGAGCAAGAGTCCAGTAGTAGCTTAAAGACTAACAAAATTTGTGGCAGGGTAGGAGCTGTCAGGAATCATGAAATGAGCAGTGACTCAGGAAAGCTTCTCCCCGGCCACAAATTTTGTTAGTCTTTAAGGTGCTCCTGGACTCCGGCTCTTTTCTACTGCTACAGATTTTGTTAGTCCTTAAGGTGCTTCTGGACTCTGGCTCTTTTATTCTGTAGGGACTTTGTTTTCCCTGTATGATTCAATCAAGTCAACTCTTGATTGAAAGTGCTCTTTTCTGCTGCTACAGACAGACTAACGCAGCGACCCATCCTGATCTCTCCCTACAGACTGTTAGAGACAGGCTTACTCGTAGTTTGCTGTTAAGAGGCGTTTCGTCTCCTTGGTTGTTTCATCGCCAAAAACCACCTGGAAGACTTTGGTTCCGTCTGGAGTTTCGTCCGGAAGGTCAGTGCTGGTCAGGTACCAGAAACGCATCAGGATGCTAACAAACTTTCTACCTGTTCACAAGATGAAGGAGAAAGTGGAGGCAGAGCAGGAAAGGGATTTCTACAGCTTGAAACCATGGACTGGGCAGAGCGGACAGAACAGCACATAATTTTGGAGAAGAAATGAGACTGCACGGTCTGATTTGTGAAAATAATCACCCACATTTTTGCTGCTCGTAAAAAAAAGAAAGCCAGCAGAACTTTAGAGCTCTTGACAAGCTTTCACGTCACACAATGGGCTCCAAAACGTAATTTGTAGTGTTACTGTCTGACCTGTGGGCGTTGGGTCTAGGCTGCTGTGAAGGCTGAATGACTACGTATAATTCCCCGCTTCAAATGTTCAGCACGGCTTTTTAAAAATCCACACCGTCACAACCTGCACTCAACTGACAACCGACGGTCTCTCCCCAAACGAGTGTCAAAGTGACTGGGCTCCTAGTAAGGAGACTGGGAGCTAAATTTAAAACCCATCTCCGCCATAGGTTGCCCTTACCACTTTAGAAAAGATTCTAAAAAATGCTAGGCAGGGTTAGTATGGCGAGCGGCAGTCCGTCAGTAGCTCTTAACCACAAGGTACAGATGGAACACTCTGTCTGGGGCAGGGATGCTCTGTATTCTTGGTGCTTGGGGGGGGCAAGAGTGGGAGGTCTTCTGGAGTTCTGGCCCCGCTGGTGGACCTCCTGATGGCCCCTGGGTTTTGGCCACTGTGTGACACAGAGAGAGTGCTGGACTGGATGGGCCACTGGCCTGATCCAACATGGCTTCTCTTATGTCCTTACGATATACTAACTAGGTTAGGAAGCACGAACAGGATTTCAAGACACACTGAAGCTCCCTACACAACAGCCTTTGAGCTGCAAAGGATACGGCGGGAATTTTCTGCAACAGCTGCTAAAGGACTTAGCGGGAGGGGCCACGGCTCACAGAGGGCAGGACTCTGGATCAATGGCAGAGCATCAGCTTTGCATGCAGAAAGTTCCAGGTTTTATGCCTGGCAGTAGGTGGTATGACCAGACAGTAGGTGGTATGAAGAAATGCCTCAGCCTGAGACCTGGGAGAGCTGCTGATGGTCTGTCAGAGCAGACAATACTGACCTCGGCAGACCAATGGCCTGACTCGGCAGAAGGCAGCTTTTATTTCCTGTTCGTATGAATGCTTTAAAAGGGATTGTCATGATCTGGGCTGTGCCACCAGAGGCCTACTAGGCCCAGGGAGCCTGGCTAGCAGTAGGTGAGGCTGGGCCTACAACTCCCAGAAGCCCCTGAGAGGTTCTGGAGCCAAAATTGACCAATAGGAAAAGAGGAGGGCTTGGAATAAAAGATCTGGTGCAGCAGGAAAAGCTGTTCTTCTTCCCAGGGAACAGGGCCAGCAGAGGCTGCTGTGGGGAAGAGACCCTCATCCTGAGGGAAGGGTGAGTAGTCTAGTGCCACTTGGAATAGTGAGCTAGGGACAGTATATATTTAGACGCGTTAGAGCATTTGATTTCTTTTCTTTTCACCCACTTACTGTTATAATTCTGCACCTTGTTTGTTTGAACTATTTTTATTGTTCACTCTGCCTGGTCCTCACGTCTACTATTCAGCCAAAAGAGAGGTCTAAAGGCCTGGGAGGGTGCTCTGGGCCTTCGCAGAGGAGCCAGGAACCAGAGTGGTGGCAGCGTCAGGTGACACCCCACCTGAGCCATGACAGGGATGCGTACCGCTATCGTCATAGTAAATGCCAACGTCTCCTGCTGTTGTATACATTATTTCATCCATGTCAGCGGCAAGGGCGCGCCTGTGGTCTGCGGACAGCAAAGACAGCTTCTCTTTCAGCACCTGAAGCATCTGAGGCAGAAGGAGAATGGTTAAGGTCGAGCCTATAGGACAAGGGAGCATCG